AGCACTGACGGAGCTCTAATGATGATTGGAGGAATTACACGCATTCTTTGGATCAAGTTCCCCCTGTTTTAATTAACTAACCGAAAACACCTAGAGAACAAGAGCCACCCCCTGCCCGTTAATGTGGCGTTTATCCTTCACCGGGAACAAAATCTGCATGTCAGTCATTCCTAGAACGAATGTCTCCCCCAAAAGTACAGAGGGGGAATAATTGAATTGGTCTTTTTTTCGTGCAACGAATTAACTCAGAAAGAGCATTGACCTGTTTTTGTATTATGCAATTTTTTAAGGGGGGGGGGGGTGAATTAAAAAACACGATAATCTAAGTAAAGATAATTAATTTAATAAATAAATAAATTTATAAATAAATAAATAAACAAGCCTTCATTCGATTTCTTTACATTAATTGCCATGGCTTTCGACACATAATGATGCTGTAAAGTGAAACCATGTGTGGAACACGTGGTCTCCAGGGACAGATAACATAACACGAACAATATGAGCTAGATATACATTAGGATATACCGACCAAGGTAATATAGTAGCGGATCCAGGAAGGTGTGGAGGGGGTCAGTCCCCCCCCCCCCCCGATGGATTCTTTTTATACACTTACTGAATAAAAATTGCTTGTCGAAATTTTTTTTTTTGGGGGGGGGGGGGAGTGGGTGTATGAACAGCCCCCCCCCCCAAGAAAACCTTGATCCACCCATGGTAACTCTTTCTACTAGTGCGAGTACACATTGTAAGTAGGTTTGTATGTAAATGAGCAAAACAACCTTGTTTTGCTTTGTGTTTATTAAAATTCAAACATATGCACATGGATTAAGAGGCAGGGACCGATCCTGGGGTGGGGGTGGGTGAACCCCTCCAAAATTCATCTCTGTGAGGTTGAATCTCTTGCAAAAACGAAAAATACACAATAAGCTTAAGTGGTAAAGGGGGATGCGTGTTATTATGTTGTATATATTAAATAAAACCAGTGATCTATATACTATACCTATATAGGCTTATATAAATTTATAGTGAAATATTTGGTAAAATAATTGGGAGACTATGTTTATATGCGCTACAAAGAAATCATATGAAAAAGGAATTGGGGGATAATAAAAATATATTGTGTACTTAAAAATCACTTATTTACTAGTGTGGTATTGATTATTTCTTTAGAATGATGTGTATCTTATATCTGCATTTTATTATTAAAAAAAATGCCATTTAACAGGCATTAATTTTTGTTATTGAACCAAAAAAAGTTTTCTAAATAGATGTATGGGGTTCAATATTATTCTCTATATGATATTTTTTTTTATATCTAAAACTATCTGTACATTATAAAGAGATGATTTTTGTCAGAAAAAACAGAGATACCGGCGATTGATAACCAGCGCGCGGAAAAGTGCACAGCAACACACAAAAAGTATAAACCATCACTATTGGACTTATCATGAGAGAGAGAGAGAGAGAGAGAGAGAGAGAGAGAGAGAGAGCTTCATATTTGGCCCAATAAATAAAGTTCTTCAAGAATATTAAACCTTGGTACCACATTTTATTTGACCCTTGTCTCTATTCTGACCTTGACATCAGATTTCCTTATTTTGTGTTGAGTTTTACAAACACATTTACTGTGACCTTGACCTTTGTTATGACCTTGACATATTTCCTTTGTATCAAATCTAACAACAATTGTAGCTCATATGGTTTGGGATGTTCCTAGCCATTAATCTTGGGGTTTTGATTTAAAAAAATAAAAGAAACTTCATACACAATTTCAATAAGTAGATTTCTTTGTTTAGTCCAAATTTTAGGACACAAGATCCAGAACTCATCAATGCATTCTCCCTGAAATCCTGGAATCATGATATAACACACTGGTCAGAATTTATCAACACATTCCAAGTCCCTAAAATGATGCTATAAGGAATTTTTATATTATAGAAAGTGTTTGACGAAAGATTAAAAAAAAAGACTTATACTACTGAAATATGGTTCAAAGAAACTGCATCAAATCCTATGTTGATAATTTATTTCTGTATATAGAAATAGTCAAATTTTAGCAATAGCTAGACAAATAAAACTATTGATCATGTTGCAAAATCATCCATAAATAGACTTTTTTTTATCATGAGCAGACAACCCAGGCCTTGCTCAAACCTACAGTTCAGCAGTATAATTATGAATTCAAACATTATTGATGTAACCAAGAACATTAAAAAATATTACCTACATGATGGGTAAGCAGCCTTAAACTTCTACACTTAACATGCAGAACACTACCTACATGATGGGTAAGCAGCCTTAAACTTCTACACTTAACATGCAAAACATGATAAAAATAGGAAACACTTTTCAAAAAACTGATAAATATATAACTCTAGAGACAGAAGTTAGCTTATTATTTGCTTTTATTAATATACATGATCTACACTTGGCTTTGAAAGACTATTTAAATTAGGTTACAGTAGCACCATTAATAATACAAAAAACAAAGTAAATGTTTGACACATATCAAATCAAAGCACATGTAAAGAATACTTAATTAGCTCAGAGAGCAAATATTGACCCAAAAATTCCTCCCTGGATTTCATTTTTTGGAACATCTTATCATGGTTAAAAAAAAATCACAGAAAAATGGAAGCAATGTTTTGACACCAATAAAAATCAGAATTCTTTTTTCTTCTAAAGAATAAGGAACAATATCCTATAGTTTACACCCTTATTGCATTCTGCAGACAATATACTGGTCTAACATTGATACTCAATGCATGAACATTGGTGTTTCCAACACTTGGGATGATTCCATGTGCTTTAAGTTACAGCACAACTTACTTAAGGTGGCAGAAAATTTATGTGCGCACTTGATGTAATTTTGCTTCTAGCATTCCACACATCTACCCAGGGAACTGATGTACCAAAAAATATGGTAAAATACTGGTATAAGGAAAGACCAGTCAATCACTGACGATAATCTCAACATCACGCAGCCATTTTAAAGGGATGTCTGCCACGTCTGTAATGCCATGTCGTTTACAATAACTGTGTGATTCATTTCAGCTAGGAGCCATAACAGCTATTTTTCAGCAATTGCAGTAATTGAAAATAGAAATTAACTTAAAACAAGAACTAAACTTACAACCACGTTTAAAAATCAGCAGCATTTAGACTGGATTAGAAAACGCACTTGATAAAATGATTAAAGTAAAACTAACTTAATTACGGCAATGCACTCCGAGGCACCAAACTGTAGCATTATGTGTAAACAGACCTAACTCTGGTAACATTAACACAACAATATGGTAAACAATTGCTGACAGGTATAACAAAATGTGGTAACTCTGTCGTATAAATGTCCGCTGTAATTGCTACGATTCCTCAGAAATTAACAAAGCTTCCTTTGTTTATATGCATTTTCAGTTTCTCAGCACATTTTGTCTGTGACTGCAGCAACAGTGAATTTGGCTTTTATTTTTTTGTTATTAAAAAATATACAAAACACAAAAGAACAAACACACAGGGTAATATAATACACACTAACATATGAAGATCTAAAACAAACTCTAGTGCAGATCAAAGCGGATAAGGGGATCCAGTAGATATGATGAAAGCTGTGGTGGATCTAAGATTTCCACTCAGATGGAACATGCTTGATCAAAACTTATTGACAAACAAAAAAAGGATATTATATTAATTTTTTTTTATGGTTGTAATGCTACAAAAGTTATAAGATAAAAATAGATAAATATGCATTACAATTTAAAATCATAAATATTTTTATGCAAGTAAAAAAAAACAACAACAAATTTTAGGATGGGATGGGGGTAGGGGGGGGGGGTTTAGGGGTTGCACTAGTGTGTTCTCTTTAAAATGAACACTGGTTAAACAGAGTTTCTGTTTTATTTTAGTGACATTGGTAGAATAGGTGTGGATGTTAGGGGAATAAAGACTGTACAAACAATTATACAACACACAGCATGCAAGGTATTCCAAACTTTGGGAAAAAAGGGTTGGAATTTCAATTGTAGACATCATATGTAAAAGACATTGTACTAGGGCCAAAAAAAGGTTCCATGTACAAGTTTTTTTTTTTCAGGGAGGGGGTGGGGTGGGGAGTGTGGACAGATTGTAAGCATTATGTAACAAAGTGTACAAAGTCTCCTTAACAGTGATTCATTTGACTTTTTTGGAACATGGAGATAAGTTATTTTACCGAGGGTGAAGCACCAACTTGACCTGGATTAAGCATGTCAATCTATCATAACTCAAACACACAACTGACCCAGTTATATGTTTGTACAAATATATTAATCCATTAACCATGATGTCCTAATCTTCTAGATGTCAAAATCTCATATTGTTCTATTTGCTTTAAGTAGGTACCTTATTTTTTTGTTGGTAGAAAACTTCAGAACCCAATCTTGTCAATTGTAATGTGTAATGTACTACGTATGATTAAATAAAATACAGTGGATTATTTTATAATTATTTGAGTAAAATTTTAGAAAAATGCCAATTTTCATTCATATGTCAGGGAGAGAGCTTTGGCTCCTGATATTTACATATAAATGTCATAGCCTATAATATACCTATAGTCCATTACAGCATCTGTGTCCCAGGCAATAAGAAATTTATTCCAATCAATGCATTTCATAACTAAATTTTTTGGTATAATGCCTATCTGGTTTCATCTTGTTTCACTAAAATATAAATAGCTATAAATAACCCTTAATCTATATTATCCAGCTGTTTTCTTCTGGAAACTTGCAAGGGGTACAATCAAGTTTTATAAACTTCAGAATCATTCAAAATTCAACATGTTCAAATATCTCAATCACCTAATTTACATTAAAAAAATCTGTTTTCAGTAAAACGGTCAAAAACGAAATTCCAGGATTGAATCGTTTACTTCTGGAACATGGCATTCCTGATTGCTGCGTATGTTTTATTGAGTATTTTTAGCATCCTGATTGTCCTTGGTTACTGTTTCCATGGTTACAGACCTTGACCCTTGTACTTGGTAAATATGTTGTACAAGACTCTAAGTGTGGACTTCAAATCCTGGTTAACAACATCTGCAACAAAAAATTTAAAAATTAATTTTAAACATCTTGCAGTACACAGTTATTATCTAAAACAGCACTGTAATTCTCATAAAATTAAATAGATTCTGAGGGAAAAGAGGATTCATTTCAGCACAATATCTAATGATTGATCAAATCACAAAACTTGTAGTTTTATTTTCTTTAACATTATTTAGATAAGATCAATTTTGCGGAGTAAAATCACCAGTACCTGATACTCAATCCCTTCACCACCCACGTAACGCTTCATCACTCCGTACATTGAATTTATTAAATTTTAAACATAATGAAACAAATGATCAAAATAGATTTGTTGAACTTTTATTTCGGAACACATTTTATGATTTATCAATTTTTCTTTTATCTTTTTAAGATAAACATTTATTGTTTGGAAAATCACTTTTTCAAGTTAAATATTACAGAAGGCAATCATATCTCTTAATGTAATAATCGTCTTCAACAAAATGATGTCCTGTCTGATCTATTGTCTGTCTGATGAGGTTCATTTACTCCACAAAACATCATTAATTTAATTATATTTTTAAAACATCTACACTTTGTGTGGACATTTTTTAATTTATAATTATGATGACACTGAAAAGTCTCAATGAAAAAAAAAATCTTTTTTTTTTTTTTAAATTTCAATCAATTTGTCCAATAAAACAAATATCAGATACTGTTTTAAATATAGGTTAAAAAAATGGACTTGGTATTAAAAAAGTAAGAAATAATGTACTTATATTCTTAAATGGTTCTCATTTTTAGCATTAACAATGTAAACAGTTTGAGCAACTTGTATGAATGAAAAAGGCAAAGATAACTAACAGGGATAGATCTAAAAAGAAAAAAAACAAAAAAAACCTATAAACTTTTAACAATACAATTCTGTGAACAGGGGAATAAAACATATACCCCTGGAAATTCCAGAGGTGGGATCAGGTGCCTAGGAGGAGTAAGCATCCCCTGTTGACCAGTCACAACCACCATGAGCCCTATGTGTTGATCGGGTAGATGGTACATTCCATAGTCAAATTTAGTATAAAAGGAAAGGCCTAAAAAATGGTATGAAATGATTGTGTGATAGACATTTAAAGACTAAAATAACATTCATCCATCTCTTATGTTTTTGGCTAATTTGGTGGGATGGGAATCTAAAAATTAAGTCTATGTAGATATACCTCCCTCCCCCCCCCCCCCCACACACACACACACATACACACACACAAACAAAAAAAAAAAAGAAAAGAAATTAAGTTTATGTAGACTAAGACTTCAGAAGTTGGTGGAGAACTTGAGGGCTGTACCTTCTGGTCTGGCTTTGGGTTTGGCCAGTCCCGAGTCCTGCATCAACTCAAATGCAAAGTTCACATTGTGGACCTGAAAGACAGAGAGAGTGAAAAGATGCATGAATCAATCACGGAAAAGTAACAGAATTGTCATAAAAATCCAAGCCTGGGCATAAAAATGGAGAGATTCCATCGTAAAACTGTGCCAGAGCCTGAGAACTATACCCCTGTCTTGGCTGAGGGGAGACATTGTGAATGGTGGGGAGAACATAAACTACTGAATGTGCCTGAGTGATTGTTTTCTGTGGGGCGATAAATTATCAATGAACACACTACGTATAATAACTAATTTCACTCCATCGAAAATACTGCAATAAAAAAGGCATCGAAGTCAGTCATCCAGTTTAAATGTCCAAGGTTTTTATTACACAAATTGAAAGTTTTTGTGAATGAATCTTGGGTTTGGTAATAACTGCATTATGCAAATGGAGTTGTGCTGATTTGTTTTTATGCTGAAGTATGGTGAACATGGCCATTGTGTTTAAACACACCTCGTCTACCTGAAATGCACGGTTATTTTGCTCTAATGGCCTTTCGGTATTGTAATGCATTAGCAAACTGAATTTTAAGTAAACCATATAAAAAAAAACCTTCTCACTCTATGAATTATTAATGAAATGGAAATGGAATAATTTTTGACTTTCATTAATTTTTTCCACTGTCTCCCTTCTATTTAGGAAATAAATTAACAACAACAAAAAAATCATTTTCAATTCATATTTATATAAAGACAGTGTATTTTCTTGAAAACATGCAGTCAAATTAAATAAATTTAGTTATCATAAAAGTATACATACACACAATTTCCTGTCATTAATTCTTTGTATATTGTGGCAATTATGTATTCCAGGTGAAAATTAATTCAGTTTCCCAAGTGCTCCATATAAATTATACATGACATTTTTTTTGTCAATATAACTGGCATTTCAGCTGAGCTTTCACTAAATTGACTGTTCTACAGATTCGACTTAGAGACCTAAGGAGACATGATGGAATCATCTGTGTCCAATACAAAGGAATTCTAATAACTATAAGATTAAAAGTCATATCTCGCATTCAGAATATTTATAAAATTTAATTTTTTTTTTTTCAATCTGATTCATTTATTATGTATTACTAATTCACTAATTTCTAAATAGCTCTACATGTATGTACTAACAAATTTCTTCAGTTCTGGTGACACGATGTATTATCTTAATATGCACGTCAATATAGAGCCCTGCTATAGGTCTGGAACACAATGTAGTGTAAAATAACCAGTACCCTCCCACTCAATGTTAGCTTAACTGACATTAAACAGCCACAAAAATCGAGATAAAGTACGAATTTACCAAATGATGATTTAAAAATGTAAACAAATGTAACATATTACATAATACACGGTTTTCACATTTATTTCACTCACTAGGTGGGGCTCTAAAGTTTGGGAAATCTGAGTTTTGATAAATCATTGCACAGTTCTGACATCCAAGTTTACTTTATTTTCGGTAAATCAGACTTAAACTTGATTCACTTTTTCTATGATCTGTATAGTGACAGTGATTACAATACTGGAGTTTGTTCTAAAGTTTGAAAACAATTCATTCTACTGCATCTGTCTAACATAACCCACTGTCAAAGTTTTAACAAACTATTTTAATCACACCTGGATATAGACGTAGAAAGGTGTCTGTGGTTTGTAGGATATAGACGTATAGAGGTGTCTGTGGTTTGTAGGATATAGACGTATAAAGGTGTCTGTGGTTTGTAGGATATAGACGTATAGAGGTGTCTGTGGTTTGTGGGATATAGACGTATAGAGGTGTCTGTGGTTTGTAGGATATAGACGTATAAAGGTGTCTGTGGTTTGTAGGATATAGACATATAGAGGTTCTGTGGTTCTAATGGGACATCAGTACCATTACATTTAAAACAGAATATCAAGAATTTTTTTTCACTCTCAAAGCAGTCTCCTGTAGACTGAATATTCTGAATATTTAATTTTTTTTTGCAATCTGTGCAGAATTCCCCCCCCCCCCTTTTAGCAGTATTCTGTAGCAGAATTATCCCCCTCCTCATTAGGGGTATTTTGTTTTCAGTGAGACTGTTTCACATCAGTTGTCATATTTTGCATTCTCATGCAGTCCTTGTGAGAATTTCATTCATCATACATAATTTTTACAATACAATTAGTACTACACACTTGTTACCTACAAAGAGAGGAAAAACCAGTATATGTGTAAACAAACAAACAAACAAAAGCATTACATTATATTCCTCGCCCTTTTTTTAAATCCAGTCACAATATTTTCTTACCATAAGTTAACTTCAAATTTTACTCATTAAGTGAAATTCAGTCATAAGGTTCACAAGACTGGATGTAGAAGCTAATATGACTTTGTCTTCATCCATCAACACATTGCTCAGGTCTCTAAATGTTTGACAAGACTTAGAGGGGTGTAAAAGGAGAGAGAGAGAGAGAGAGAGAGCTATTACTTCCTTTAAAGGTTATACATTTCTCTATGATGAACTTCTCTATACTCTTAACCTGGTACAGGAAAGCTTTATCCCTATGCTTTAATTAGCATCATAATGTTAACAAAAAGTTGATTTCAAATTTTCTTAATAAAGAGAAATGGATTAGGAAGACAGCACATATTGATTCACTCTTAATTTCAATTGTGCAAATTGAACAGATTTCAGATACAGATCTAAATAAATCAATACTTATACTGAATTGAAGTTTCAAACTCTTTAAATTTAAGGTTGTTGGGTCAACACCCCATTTCATAGATGAGTCTGTCTTATCTGCAATTGGGAATCTTAACCGTACACGAAATTCAATAAGTTGCTCAACAAACTTCTATGAGTCATTTCCGCAGAATGACAAAAGTTGATCAGATAAAAGGACTAAAGAACCTTAAAATATAACAGGAGAATCTAGCTCTGCTGCTAAAATGTTACGTAATTATGTGCATAAACGTCTGGTGTACTGCTTAGGTAGACATATAAATATCAATGTTGTTTAGTTGAATAAATATCAATGCTGTCTAGTTGTATAAATATCAATGTTGTTTAGTTGTATAATATCAATGTTGTTTAGTTGTATAAATATCAATGCTGTTTAGTTGTATAAATATCAATGCTGTTTAGTTGTATAAATATCAATGTTGTTTAGTTGTATAAATATCAATGCTGTTTAGTTGTATAAATATCAAGGTTGTTTAGTTGTATAAATATCAAGGCTGTTTAGTTGTATAAAATCAATGCTGTTTAGTTGTATAAATATCAATGCTGGTTGTAGTGACATTATACTCCAATATTTGCCCCAGGGTCACCAGTAGATAAGAGCTGTCACCACTGGAGGGGCAGGAGGTGAATTTAGAGAAAGGACAGCAGGGGCAGGTTGGATCTAGAAAATAGAATACAAACCGTGTGTGTATGAAAAAGAGTCTCTGCATTGAGGTTTGTCAGGATTACTTTAATGGTTTGGCGGTTAGAGGCATGTTATTGGAAGATATGCTTCATACACCTAACTACTAGCAATAGGTACTGATACTCCTTTTGGAAACACATTCAAAACATGACACATTTCAAATATTGCTTTGACAACATCTTTAGGTACAAATTATTTTTACTTAATATTGCCACTTGTGATCAGCTGATTATAAACTAAATGATTCTGCTTCTTTTCAGATACTTAAGTTTAAATTGTAGGTCAGATACAGCATCCAATGAAGCAGCACTAAGTGTTGTTCTATACTAATTTCTCAAGCATAAAATGAAGAACATAGGCCAGATTCAGTAGCTGATGACTGTATCATAGATACACCAATGTACAAGTACCTCTTACACTGGCGATTGACCTTGGTAAAATGCTGAGCTAACATTTGTAAAAGAGATGGACAGACAGACAGACAGACAATATAATTCTAGTATACACTCATGCCCCATATCTTCATTACAGGAGTACGAGCTAATTCCTTTGTAGGTATCATTCCTATTTGACCTTTAACCTCCAAGTCTGACCTTGACAAATTTTACACTTACCTTATCTAGTGTTTAAAAAAAAAGTGAAATAACTCAAATTTTGTAGTTTTAAAGTTTGTACTATAAAGGGCTAAAGACATTGACAAACTGATAAAAATGAAACAAAAGAAGATACAGTAGATAGTTCCTAGGCATAGATGATGAACCAACAATGTCCTCCAGCAAACCACTTGTACAGATTTCACTACTTAACAAGAGGTTCTATAGCCTGACAAAGAAGCCATTCTTTATAATTCAACAATTGAAACTGAAACATTATTATAGGTCCCCCTTCAGAAAACAAAAACTTCTGAGTGCCATTGAGATGCTTATCAGAAGTGAGGCATTAACTGCTCTGAGTGACGAATTCAAGGTCATGCAGACATATGTCCTTTTTATGTCTGTGACCTTGAGATGTGATCCATAATCATTTATCTTGGAGGGCATCTATTCAGTTTCTACTTGACGTAAACACTCAAAGAAAGAAAAGAAATCATTTTCAGGGGAGGTTTTTTTGACAGATAAATAGAAAATGTCAAATTTCGAATGCAGTGTGTTAATTTTTTGATTTAAAAAAAAAAAATTTGGAAAACGTTTCCATGAGACCGTGACATTTGCTGCTGCTTACAAGGAAGTTAACAATGGAAGAAGAGGTTTCATCCCTACTGTGACCACATTCCACATTACAAAACTCAAGTACCCTTTAAAAGCCCATCTAATACATATAAGTTAACGACTCCTCTGTCACTTATCGTGCCGAAACACTGGAGCTTTATATCGGAGAACGGGAAATCTGCCTGAGTCAAATACCCCTCAAAACAGTCTCTGGCTAAAGCACACGGAAAATATCTCTTGGTACGTCATCTTATAAACACTTATAGCCATGCCTCCTTCATATATTAGGAGGAATTTCAAGATTTTAAAGTGTTTAGTACTTTACTAATAAGTTCAATGACAAAGTTGTAAAGAGATGCATTTTTTTTTTATTTTGACTTGTACACATGTATTTTATGCACTTCAAAT